AAATGACAACCTCTAAAATTCTTTAATTCTGTCAGCTTATTATGTTCATTGACGTCAACTGTTTATCATTAATTCAGCTGTTAAAAATCAAGCTTGTAGTACCTCCGACTTTAGTTTACAAATGACTCTTTTTACCCCTTTTTGTCACATTATTTTTGACCGACAAAAGCACCACACATTGACGTAATTATCAGGAATTGTGCCCTACTTCGTCTACTCCGAAGACAGGTCGTGGAGAAAACAACGCGTTCACGCTTTACATCATCAAGCTTGCTATATAAAGAAATCATCCAAGATTCGGTTCTCCGATTAATGTCGTCGCTTCTCTGGAAACCGATTTTTTTAGTTATGTTTATTTCATTCTATTTTTTCTCCTCAACGTTTTCGGGTACGCACTTGCGAACCGTGCGTACAAGTAGCTACACCCCTGTTTAGTCTCCTTAGCCCTGAGCGTTCCTCTCTTGCGGTTTTCGCGGGAGTTCAGGATGTGGTCCACCAAGTATTTCACGTCTCTATTAAATGAGAGGCAGCACTTCTTGTTTACCGTTTCGTTATCAGACAGCGCTTAGACTCTTAGCCTTTCATTTAATTTTGATCCAATTTTATGATTTAGTTACTCAGTATACGTTCGATCCTGTCGTTGTAAACTTATACTTTTATACTTTAAGGGAGCTTTATACCTATNAAGCTTGTAGTACCTCCGACTTTAGTTTACAAATGACTCTTTTTACCCCTTTTTGTCACATTATTTTTGACCGACAAAAGCACCACACATTGACGTAATTATCAGGAATTGTGCCCTACTTCGTCTACTCCGAAGACAGGTCGTGGAGAAAACAACGCGTTCACGCTTTACATCATCAAGCTTGCTATATAAAGAAATCATCCAAGATTCGGTTCTCCGATTAATGTCGTCGCTTCTCTGGAAACCGATTTTTTTAGTTATGTTTATTTCATTCTATTTTTTCTCCTCAACGTTTTCGGGTACGCACTTGCGAACCGTGCGTACAAGTAGCTACACCCCTGTTTAGTCTCCTTAGCCCTGAGCGTTCCTCTCTTGCGGTTTTCGCGGGAGTTCAGGATGTGGTCCACCAAGTATTTCACGTCTCTATTAAATGAGAGGCAGCACTTCTTGTTTACCGTTTCGTTATCAGACAGCGCTTAGACTCTTAGCCTTTCATTTAATTTTGATCCAATTTTATGATTTAGTTACTCAGTATACGTTCGATCCTGTCGTTGTAAACTTATACTTTTATACTTTAAGGGAGCTTTATACCTATATTAATTTTTTCTTCGTTTAGTGTCGTCCAACAGACCCAGTTTTTTGGCATTTTTTTAAAAAGCAAGAAAAAGAAACGACAGGGTTTATTTTTTTTTGGACTTAAATTAATTCCTTTAATCTAAAAAATGAGCATTATAACAGCATTTTCAGGCATAAAACGTTCGGTGATGTATCCTTTTTGCTTTTTACCCTTTTTGGGCCTTTTTTTATGAAATTGACCATCACATTTTCCGCCATATTGAGTTTGTGTCGCTTTGGTGACCATGTCTTGTTGTTTTCAGGCTCCACGGCAATGATGCTGGTGTTTCAGGCCTCCTGTTCTCAGATTTCTTGTGATTTTTTTCACCTCACCGACCGACCCACCCAAAGCCAGGAAACCTATTCGACGCTAAACGAACGAAAGCTAAGCCTTATGGTTTCTTTTTGGGCTTCCTCACCACATTGCTTCTGCGTATTTCTGTATACTTGTCTTTTGCTTTGTTTTGTTCTTTTTTGTCGGTAAACTAAACTGAAACTGTACAAAGACCCTCAATATTCCCTTTGGAGGTTCTCGAACGCGCATAAAAAAAATGAAAAACGCGATGATTTATTGACCGCGAGGGCAATGGGGTGGGGTTAGGGCTCGTCACTGCGCTCCGGTTCACTCGTGCGCTTTCAAATGGTCCCGAAATACAAAACGAAAACTGACTGTGGACAGACTATTCACGTCTAGACATCAAGCATCTTTTAAGATGGGACTTATCGCCTTTCCCTGTTCATGGAGTTGATTCAAGGTGTTGACATCAATTTCGTGATGCCCTGCATGTTGCCTGGACATGTTTCAAAAGGGCCTTTCCACAGCTACGGAGTCCGCCATCACCATGTCAACCGTGCGAGAAATGATGTACTTCACAAAAACAAAGACAGGTTATTTTCGTTTTGTCCCGTCCCCTACCCCCGAAAGTCCCCGACAGGACCGCTTCAAAGTACTCCCCATCCCCGGGCCCAAATGACTGGAATTGTTCCTGTGGTTGTGCGGGGGATAGTAACAGGTCTAACTAATTGCACCGTGCATCAATGACAGTTTAGCTCAATCAGAAGCCCCTTTTCCTTGGCTAGTTCAAAGTGTGTGCACCTCCTTTAAGCGGTTTTTTTCGGTTTTTACTGAAATTTTTGATCTTGAGGAAATTCACAACGACAGGAGCAGGTTATGGGCTTTTTTCCTACCCCTAATCCTACATCACGGGAAATTGGAAAATCCCTCAGGTTAGGCAAGAATTCGATAATCCTTCCATAATCATCCATTTCTTCACCGCGTGAATTGGGTATTTTTTAGCTTATTTCGAGGAAATACTTTTTGCTTCAAATCCAGGGTGGGCTTATAAACACATTTTTTAAGCCAAAATGGTTTTTTCGTGAATCTGCTTACCCAAACTTTTCGTATCAAAAACGACAAATACCCGAAAAAAGCTCGTGTTGTTGGTGGTGGTGGTATATTTCCGATAAATTCAGTTCAATGTCTCGTGAAGAAGAGTTCAGATCCGTGCCGCGCGCCTCTCGAGGCAAGCGTTCCGTCGAAATGCGAGCCCAAAAACAGGTGGTAAGCGGTCAATCTGTGAAAAGTAACGCAATCTCCGTCGTTTGAGAGCAGCCGAAGAGCATGCAATACATGTTAGCACACCATATAGTCGTGCAACATAAATTAATTGAACACTGTGCACAACGTTTTGTAAGCAATACGCACTTCTCAAAACTACTTCTTTTCTGTACTTATTAGTCCTTTAGTATCCTAACCTGTCCTTTTCTGTACTTACTAGTCCTTTAATGACCTTACTAGTCCTGTATCATCCTAACTTGTCCTTTTATGTCCTAACCAGTCCTTTTTCTTTTTTATTTCCAATATCTAGGGAACCCATGCTAAGGTATGAAAGTAGGCATTGTTCTGTCCGGTAAAGTCAAATTCCTGGACGCAGAAACGTTGTGCTTTTTGAAGTTTATTAGTTTATTATTGTGCTTTGCCCTTTGACAACCTTACGTGACTCGTGCGTTTGGTAGCAGAAGATGGCTAAACTCTGCTTTTCTTGTTGGAAAACGGCTTTAAATTTTATCACATCGCTCGATAAACACGTGTTGGTTTCTGATAGCTGATAACGTTAAACCACTGTTGCTCAAACTGATTTCTTATTGCATTTTTCTGAGTTTTTAGCATCGGCCCGCTGAGTCTGGAAAGCTCAAATTTCAGAAAAGTACTACTTGTATTTTTTGGCCTCAAAAATTTTCTTTTAAGTTGCCCATAGTTTTGAAAACAGATTTTGAAAGAAGAGATAACGCTCTTTAACGTGGTATAAGACTCGTTAGTGAAATCGAGGTACCAGTCGACGATTTTGGGCTTTGAAATTTGCCATTTTTTCATTGAACGAAAACGTTCAAAATATTGAAAATAATGAAAAATCTCCAAAATATTACACTTTTGTTCAAACTGAGTAAATCACCACTTAAAATGTGTGCAATTATGTACTCTTCTGAATAAGTTATTTGTTGTCCGCATTACAATGGATTTGAATTTTGAAACGATGTTTTTGTGACACATGGTCTCGGGCCTGGAAAACCCGGTCCGAGAGCCGCGAAACCAATTACCCCCGTACGTGGAAAATAATTATCGGGTCGAAGTAAAAATTACATTTATGTTAATAGCTTACCTAGTGCTACTTTGTGAATTTTTTTGAGAATTTTCGATTTTTCACTTTTGTAGACCTCTAGTCGATATTTACTGACATCCGCTCTTAAATAGTATAATCAAAGTGCAGACCCTGAAGGTCACTTCAATGGGACTATGTGGCTGTACTCTAAAACAAAAGTTGGAGTGTTCAAACGGTATTCACAAAGGAACGATTTGACGTCAAACGCATTAAGAGCAGAAGCGGCGACAGACAAAAGATCTGTCGAATCGTTGCCATGAAGTTCAGAGGAATGACTCTTTTTTCATAAAGAACTTGGTGGCTTGCACCGTCGATGGAACGCATACCATCAAAACCTGGACAGGACTGATGAAATGAAACACTTTAAAATCAGGGGCATGAATTTGAAAAACCTATCGCTATCATGGTTATTATTCGCTTGAAGGCGAACTGACGTCTGATGTTTATGTCCCGTGACTGCAGCCTATAAAAACTTCTCGGTACATCTTGCGTTCTGAAGTCTAGGGCCCCCCCCCCCCCTCCCCCCAGACATGTCTTCTCCAAAAACGGTTGCCACTTGCGCAGTAAAAGCCATGGTCATTTCCCACGTGTGCTGTGATCTTTGGTGTCTGTACAGTTGTAATTTTGTAATCTCAAAATTTTTTATAATACACAGTACGCATTCTTTAAAAAATATCCATTTTTGACAATGTTATTATTATTATTTTTTTTTTTTTGTCGTATTTATCGTTCCTTTGGTTAAAAACGATTTAATGGTGTGCGTTTATCGTCGGTTTATTGCTCTATAATCAGATAATAGGGCCGGAGGTACTTGGCTCTTATACGGCAGCTGACCCTTGTGGAGAGGTTAAAACACTGGGTGAATTATTCTCTATTGAGTGAATGTAATATATGCCTCCAGGTACAGAAGCCTGTCCACAGACGTTTTGTCTTTCTCTGTCTGAGCTTGGCATAAGGTTCTGGAAAATAAGTGAGCTCCGCCCTTGGTCTTATATTATATGTATATTTTTAGGGAAAAAGTGGCCACTGAAAAGGACGAGGAAATAACAGCATTAAAAAGGAAAGTAGAGGAATTGCAGCAACATGTTGCCATGAGTGATAGATTAAAGAAGGGCATGGAAAGGTAACAAATTAATCTATTTTTTAAAATATATTTGCCGTTGGATTAAGGTCACGATTCGTACTATCATTTTTATTGAAGGTTGATATGAGCTTCAAATTTACCTCTCAAACTCATTAATTACTCACGAGGGCAACAGCCAATAAATAAGACGTATTTGGGTCACATGCATGAAACTTGATACCCAATGAAAACTCAGATGAAAATCTTACGGGTTTTGATCTGAGATCAAACATGGTTTTGATCTCAGATCAAACACTTAAGCATTTTAATGAGCATTTTTCAGGTACCGCGGGGTTCAGTAGGGCGATGAAAATTACCCGGCGTAGTCAATCGAACGTTCGGTAATCAAACTCAATCAAACTCTAATCGTTCGATAGACTTCGATTGGGCTCGGTAATCGAACTCACCCCAAAATTTTTGCCAGTCGAACACAATCGAACGTTCCGTAAACAAACACTTAATATAAACAATCGAACACTATCGAACGTTCGAAATCGAACACTGCATGCAACAATCGAAGATAAAACCAGTTTCATCTGGTTTCAAACAAAAGGCGTCGCGTTCACATAAGTGATGTATTGACTTCAATTTCAAACACGAGTAGGCAAAGATGTCACAGAGGGCGGAAAAAGTGAACAATTCTGGAAACAGTGGTTAAAGGCTACCACGAGTGCCAGCTTTCGCCGTCAGTGTCGGTGAAAATTTATTATTTAGAAGAAAAGGAGAGATCCGGCCCTGAAGGTAACTGACGATGGCCTCAACCAACTTCGACATTTGCCAACTGATTTACAAAGTGAACTGGTGCCTTTGCTAGCATGTTACCCAGTATTAATAGTGAATTTATCCATTGTGAGTCACTTAAACAATAACGTTTTTAGTTAATTCGGGTTAACTGAAATAGTTTTGTTGTCAAACTGCTTGAAATACATACTAGAGGGAGGTCTTTCCGATTCACCCCAAATGAAACTGGATGCGTTTCGTCTTTCTGCCAAACAAAATCGAGCTAATCGCATCGATTGAGTCCGATTGTTTTGATTGAGTTCAGTAATCGAGCTCACGAGTTCGATTAATCAAACTCACCGAAAAGTTCCAGTTCGATTATGTTCGATTACCGAAACCAATCGAACAACAATCCGACCGATTGGGTTCTATTGAGTTTGATTGATTTAAATTTGGCTCCCTTTCCTTCGATTGACTACGCCGGGAAATAATTAGCATTACTTTCGGAGAGTAAATCAAAACTAATCAAGTCAGCTGGAGAGCACGCTAATGAGTTAGGCTTTTGTACATTATGCTTTTGTTTCCACACTAAAATGCTCCACCTTAATGCTCCATTTTTCCCACTAAAATGCTTGGTCAGCGCCCAAAAAGTCACTAAAATGCTCTTTTAATGCTTGTCATACAGAGGATTGTTTAATAATCGTAACTTTTTAACAGAGAGCTATCGCTACTCAAATGGTACACATAGTATAATAACAAGTTTATAACATTTCAAACAGCAAAACTTAACTTTTCCCCAGTCTTCGCACTTTGAATTTCAAGTTTTTTCTAGTTTGTCTTTCTTTTTTTTTTCTGAAAAAAGGAAAAAAAATTCCGCGAACAATCAACCCTTATTTTTATTTTCTCTCAAAAGATCCCGGAAAAGTTCCACTAAAATGCTCCAACAATGCTTAATGCTTTTGCTTCAATAAAATGCTCAAAAAAATGCAAGCAAAATGTACAAATGCTTATAATGAGTCCGTGATAATGTATCGCTTGAGGAACTGATATGACATGATCATGAAGTAAACTATTATGTGATCTGCAAATGAAGGTTTGAAAGTGGATACGACTTCTCTGCTGATAAATTAACTTATCTATCTGATATTTGCTAAGAAGATTAAACCGTGCCATAATAGTGCCCTCACAACAATTAAATAAGGATTTCGATTAAACACTATTTTCAACCGCAAATCTGTGTCAGGCCGATTCTTAACGTTCCCCTAAGTGATTCAATTTCTTTCTGGGTACATTCATTTATTTTCATTTTATAAGGTACAGCGATGGCAGTGCTCACGAACTGCAGAAAACAAGACAAGCATTGCATGCGAAAGAAAGAGAACTTGAAAGACTCAAAGAGAGGTAAAAGAGTAGTCATTGCATTTTGTAGATCAACTCACGAATGTTGTATTTGTTTTTAGCCATATAATCTCACCCGCTAACCGCAAAGGCATGCAAAACAAAATTTTCTATACCTCAATATGCAACAATAACTCAATCTTTCTTCTTTTTTTTTGTAACTCGCTAACATACAGATGTTGCCGCTTGAACAATGCACTCGATCTTTATAGCGTTTCTCGGGCCAGGCCATTGAGACATAATTATTTTGAAGCGGGATTAGGAAATAGTTATAAGATGAATAAAGTTTTATGCGTTTATTGTTTAGAAAATATGGGGAAAGAAAACAGAAACAACGTTAACAAACAAAAACAAAGACAGACAGACAGACCATAAAAACGAAAGCAAAAATCGAACAAAACACGAAAGGAGAAGTACACAATAATAACAAAGATTTATAACATGGAAATTGCCTCTTGAGGGCGAAAAAGAAATTGTAGTGCCCAGGATTCTTCACAGGATTGATTGCTTTGCTTATTTCAGACTTGCTGCAGTCTCGGAGAGAAGAGTGAGATCCGATCAAAGAAAATCAGAAAATACCCTGAGCACTAATAGGCAGTCCCAGCTTGAAAGTGAATATGTTACTGAATTCAAAGACGGTGTTCGCGTTGATGCGGTGGAGCTTATAACTAACAGAGCTACACGTCATGGAACGAAGCCATCTGCAAGAGATTATTTAACGTTCTGCAGACTTGCATGCTTCATTTTTGAGGTGAAAGTTTATTGGTATTAATGATTTACTGTTGCTTTCGTTTTGTTTTTTGGTTCGTTTGATTTTTCCTTTTCACGGTGCCCTTATCTAGCAGTAAGAAAGCCTAATCAAGGGGAAAGCAACACTGCAATTGAAAGTATCCTCCAGGTCTTGTAAATGAGTTAGGAATTGATAAACCCCCGAAGTACAGGTGGCAGAACAGTTATGGAGGGGGTGGCTTGATCTCCAGCCTCTTCTTTGGTTATGTTATATTTTGAAAATTTAAAGCAAGATTAAACGCTTAATAATATATTCTCTAAATGGATACCGTAAATCCTCTATAAATCCCCCCGGGGGCTTATTTATTTCAAACCCATTTGAGGGAGGGCTTAATAGAGACGGGGGGGGGGGGGGACCCTTAATTTTAAAAAAGACGTGGGTTTTTTTGTAAAAAAAAAAAAAAGAAAAAAAAAAACGGAAAGAGGGAGGGTAAGGAAAAGGGTGAAATCTCGGGGGGACGCGGTACAATAAAAAAAAAAAAATCGCAGTACGAGAACGAACAAAGAATGAAAAAAAATTTTTTATTAAGTAGGGAAGAAATGTGGGGGGGGGGGAGGGGGGGTTTTTTATTCTTTTTAGGGGAGGGGGGGGGGGGGGGGGAGTGAGGCGTTTACTAAAGGAAGGGCCTTTATTTGAGAGTGGGTAGCTTAATAGAGGATTTACGGTAAATAACTTAGCAGTTTATGCTTGGGGCCTAAAATGTCAGCTCCAATAATATATTTTGCCGTTTTTGGACAGGAAGCAGAGATGTTGTGTTTGACCTTGATTCCAGATTATTTTGCCTTACGTCCGAGGAAATAAATGTGGCCGATGGAAGCGTCGTACCTTTTTTGTGCGGAGCAATTTTTGTCTGTTACTGAAGAACGAGTCACTAATCTTGTCACGTCATCCGATATGAGCATAAAGACGTTTCAGGCTTCGAGATAAACCTTTTCCTTAAGACGCGAGCTTTCGATTTCATCTCAGAATCTTTGTCAAGTGAGAGACCCTTTTTTTTTCACGCACAGTTTAACCTTCAAACGTACACACAAATTCATACCCCCAAAGTGGTACAAAGGGGGAAGGGGGGGGATGGATAGAGCCCCTCCCCAGAGTTTTTGATACGTTGCAGTATCTCGAAACTATTTTGCCTTCAGGGGAAAGCCTTTGATCTTTTCAACAAGATGAGGTATATTTTATGAGTGGTGGCGCGACTAGACTGTTCACAGTCCCCTATTTTTCCGGAGATCGTCGAGATATGGCGCGTCTTACCATTAATCGCGGCCATCTAGATTTTCAAATGTACCGAGGGGGAGGTCGTCGGGGATTATAGCTCTAGGGGGAGGGGGCGAGAAAAATAGAGGGACTGTAATAACATCACTGCAGCTCGCGTTCACGGAGCAATGCAGGCGTTTGATTGGTCATTAGTCAATAGAAGTTAATTTGCGTCGGAGACAAGTTTAGTTTAAGTTGCCGACACTGACAAGTCCTTGTTTCTATAAAACGTACGCTTTCATAGTACAGTGCCAAACACACGAAGCATTTTTGGTATATTGTGGATGAATCACGTAAGCCAACATGCTTTTGAAGCAGCCCAGCCGGGGGAATGTTGTAACGCAGTTCGGCCAAACGAATTGAAATTTAACGCTACGCCTACGCAAAAATGACGACCTGTCAGAAATGCCTGGCTTTTTATCGGGAGGTTTCACCTTTTTAATCTGTGGTAAGCCAGCATGCTTAGCACTTGGATTAGGGAAATGTTTCACCTGTGCATGTTTGCCGATTTTACCTGGAGGCATGTCCCAGAAACTGTATTAAATCACTTTTTCGAAAGAAGATATTTGTAAACATGCGAAATCGATACTAAATGTGTCTGGCATGTTTTTAATCTGAATGGTAAAAGGCGTGAAATTCCTGTCACGCCTCCTGAACGTGAGCTGCAGTGATGTTATTACAGTCCCTCTATTTTTCTCGCCTCCTCCCAAACCGCCCTCTGCCCCTCATAAAAGATGGCAGCCCGTAACGTAAAGCGCTCGATCTCGATGATCTTACGGGAAAATAGGGGACTGTGAACAGTCTGTGGCGCTGCTGAAGGCCTGTGATGTCACCAACAATAGTAGCCATCTTGGTCACTATTTTGGATGTTACTTAGAGTTAGAAATCATGTTATAACCACCATAAATGGTATCTTTTTTGTGCTTGTCATGAAAAATAACACACAATTAAGCACTTTGCATCATTTTATCCTCAAGCGTTACTTTTATTGTTGAAAGAAGTTGAAAAAACGTGCATTTCACTAAAAAATGGCTTCACCACCTGCCACTGACCATCACTAAACTTGTCCCAAAATGCGCCCGAGGGATAAACGAACAGCTACTGAAAACGTCGGGTGGTCATGTTTTATCTTTTAGAAAAAAAAAAAACAAAACAAAAAAAAAAGCTCAGGGGGGTGGGGGGGGGAGGCAACGTTTTTTGTTTTTTTATTAATTTTAAAGCTCGTACATTTTTTTACAAAAATATTTAAGACTGCTTTCAAGTGTGCCATGAAAGCGAAAAGTGTTTTTGAGAAAGTTAAGAATGAGGCTCGAGATAACATATAGTTAAAATCCCATTTACCACCTGCCACTGACCATCACTAAACTTGTCCCAAAATGCGCCCGAGGGATAAACGAACAGCTACTGAAAACGTCGGGTGGTCATGTTTTATCTTTTAGAAAAAAAAAAAAAACAAAACAAAAAAAAAAACTCAGGGGGATGGGGGAGGGAGGCAACGTTTTTCGTTATTGTAATAACTTTAAAGCTCGTACGTTTTTTTAACAACATATTTCAGACTGCCTTCGAGTGTGCCATGAAAGCGAAAACTACTTTTGAGAAAGTTACGACTGATGCTCTGGATATCTTATCATCAAACGCCCCTGTAATTGGACTCAACAAAAGCGAATTCCAGAATAAGGTAATATTCTGTAGATTTTGGTCTCCGAGACCAATGCTATAAACAAAAGGGACGACAAAGTTGTAGATTAAAATAATAAATTCCAAAAAAAAATACAAAACATCAACATAAATTTAACAAAAACACTCAAGAAATATGAGAGTGATGTTTCTTAAGTTGCTGACACAAGCGACGGCAAAAAAAAAAAAAATTGGTAAATGAATAAAATTAAGTTAAATTAAATAAATGAATAAAAAATCAAATTAAATCAACAAATACAAACAAATACAACCCCTTCCGCAACCCCCCCGCTCCCCGCATCAACAAACAACAAATCTTAACGAAACGAAACTAATAGCGAGGGAGACGAATCCCATTCTCGACCCCACTGCTTACGCTTCTGACTCCGTGCGTAAGCTAGCTTATTCCTCCCTGGCCGTCATACGCAGAAGAGCTCTGGGTTCGAGATTGGACGAATCCAAAAACTTTTGGCTAGTTCTATGCATCATCGTCATACCCATGGAAAACATTCTCCAGTGATTGAATAATTTAACTTTACTTAATATGATGGAAAAGTGACTGTTTATTTTTCCCTGTATCGTTTGCTTGTATCGATACCAAAACGCTTCATGAGCGTATTCAGTTTATGTTTGTTTACATTCTAATTTTTATCTCGTAGTTTCGCTACATGGGTACACACACTAGAGATGGGAATAAATCACAAGACGCGTTATCTGAGGTCATGATTCTTGTCAAAGAAGAAGCAAAGACTCATGACCTAAATTCGCTTATAAATGTAAGTTAAATCAATGTTACTATTTTACATTCCTGGAAAGTTTGTTTTAACTTTGTAACATGTGACTTCAACGATCCGCTTTAAAAACAGATTGCGGAGCCAGTGGTGGTTACTCTTTTCTTTACCACGACTGAGCTGTCTAGAAAGAAAAAAAAAAACAAACTATTTTTGCTGTGGAATGGAAATGAAGCTTATGGTTAACAGACTAGTTCAGGAAAAGTTGTTATTCATCACTTTAAATTTTTATTTGTACTCTATCGAACACGCCGTTTAAATGACACTACTTTATTTATTAACAAGGCGAAAATATCAGCCTTAACACTATTAATTCCTAATTCTACGTTTGCATAAATAAACGATATTTCATCATTATTTTAGCTGGTCAAAAGAGCGATAGAGACGAAATGGATACGGGATAACGACATGTTTCCTTCTTATAACTCCACTGTTATGTACAGCTTGGATGAGTACATAAAGTATTGCACAAGGTTTGCTTGGTGTATGGTGTCCCAAGTTCCTCCTTTGGAAATTGAATACAAAAACAAAGTTTTTGACTCTAGAGCGCACGTTCTGAGTCAAGCATTCAGTTTTGGAGGAGAAAATTTTCCGGATCATCATAGGAGGCATCCGAAAGCCCAGCAGACTATTATGTGCTACCTGTGGCCCACCCTACAGGATTGTCAAGGAAAGGTTATAGTAAAAGGAGAGGTGATCTTGAGTAAGAGGTAGCATCTCCGCTGAGCGGTGACATCAGTAACTAAAGTCATGTATAGTGCCGTCTGTGGTCGGTCTTGTAGATAAAGCGTTGCCCAGTGAACGTTAACTTTGTAGTGACTGTAATCCTGCAATCATGTTGAAGCAAACAAGGCTGAAAATTTCAGAAAGCATTTGCATCCCCATGCCATGTACAGACGTCGTCTAATATAGATAGCTGCTCGCCCTATCTTACTAATCATGTTTTTCTACTTCGTACAATCACAATGCTCGAACTCTCCATTGACTTTTCCCCAAATTGTCTTACTTGAATCCACACAGAGGGTGAGGTAAGAGGGAGAAGAAGCCTTAATGGAAGGAAAAGGAGAAGATTTTTGAATAGTTGCTTTAGAACCTCTGAACACGAATGGATTTTAGTATAACGATACAAGTAAAACCAAAGGTGTAAACACCTTGATGATGGATACATATATGATGTCCCTTATTATCCATGTTTTGTTTTGTTTTGTTTTGTTTTTTCTAATAAAGTTCTTTTATCAATCTCTCTGGAGCCATTGACTTGATATTATTTTATGTTTTAACCTTCGTCAGGGTCTTAAAACGGTTCGCTTTAAATCCTCAAACGGCTTAACCTTCAACTGTTCGATAAAAGGCCTGCAGGTTTTTTACCGTGAAGCCGTAAAGTTCAGGGTTCCCCCTCCAAATATTTTCTTATTTCAGTTCTTTAGTAAAACCAAACGAGTATACATCCAATGCAGAAATGGCTGCCGGATTAATATTCTTTTGTTTAAATTAAAATTAGCCTAACTAGCCTCACTTGAGATAATGTATTCTTTTGAACTTTGTACTGGAGAACGAGGCTAGTTAGGCTAATTTAAATTGAAACAAAAGAATGTTAATCTAGAAGCCATTTTTGCATTGGGTCTATAACTTTGACCTTTCAGTTCGTCCCTACCAAACCCTCCGTAGAGACGAGTAGGGGACAACCCTGGGAGCGAGATTTATAGTTTTGTTTGTTACTTCTACGTCGTTCGTCCTGAACACCAGCATTGAGAATAATAATAATCATAATCATTATCATAATCATAATTGACTTATATGCCTGGTGGTGAATAATAAACTTGCAAATCTTGGACCAGGGAAGCCAGTAATTTTACTGAATTTATGACGGAGAATTTTGCAGCTTGTTCACTTTTAATGGCTTATAATTTGACTCTTGTCTTCCGGCTAATTTAGCAGAAGGGTGTGTGTAACCGTCCTATATATGCAAGCGATACAACTAGCATTGAGGCACCCTGAAAACCGAGTTTTTAAATTTATTTATTTTAAATTTTTAAACCAATTTTCAGTCATTCAAGTTGTTGTTCACACAAGCTGGATTTATTTCTCAGTATTCCCGAGTTCAACACCTCGGCTATGCTTGTATAGAGGCAAGTGGTTGCCTCGTACCAGTTGGGTTTTTAATAATGTTATGCCCCAACTGCAATTATTTGTGTGCAGCGGTGCATGAAAACTAACTAGAGCAGCTGAGTGCACTTTCCACCAAAAACAGACATTTACATAATTTTACATTCCTTTACAATAGGACTTCTCCCTTGGCAATAACTCGTTTTTCGCAGTCCAACAGTGTTGGCCATAGGAAGCACTTTATTTGTGACGAAGAAGTTTGTTTCTTGTCACTTTCAAATCCTGGGACGTGACTCCTTTCATCAAATTGCTGACTCTGGTAGTTAAGTTTTAGTGGAGGTACTTGCGTGACCATGCGCCAGGAGAACCTACAACAATAATCCATGTACTTCGCAAGCTTCCCACTTTTCTCATCATAGGATGGTAGCGGTGGCAGGATGAGTCCAGTTTTTTTGGCTTTGGACTGGAGCACTTCTTCCCTCAATTTTTTCTGCGCCTCATTTTTGACGGTCTGTTGATGCAAGGAAAATTGAATTATTTGTGAATGGATAATTGATCTTCTGAATTTTACGGGCTGGCTTATTTGTAGGTGGGACAAGTGCAGCGCTCTTGTCTTAATCTCACAAGTAAACATTGCACAAACTGTTTACGCCACACACCCTTAGTTATAGCCACCTCTGCCACTCGCTAGTTCCACGTATAGAGGTCTCAAGAGTCTATAAAAGAGACCTTTAGATTCTAAGACGGGTACGACTACGAGTACGAGATTTTCTCAATACTAAGTAGTGCGCGCGCGTGAACCAGCGTCATTTTGGCGGGAAAATGTGGTAGCCGTCGTCACTCTACTACGAGTTTTAGCGAGAATGTCGTGCTGGCGAAAACAAGATATCAAATTTTAGAAGTTTTATCATTCTGCGATACTTACTTCAATGAGCTTTTTCAAATCATGATTTTTTGCTGTCTCTTTAACATGGACCATCAGCTCGCGCATCGCCTCCTGTACTAGCATTGACCCAGGTTGTGAAGATGAATCGGGGGGAAACAACCCGACTGGCTGAAATACAATCAGCAAAACATTGTTACACAAATAATGTTAAAAATAACTACAATAATACTTTTTTAAAAAGGGCCAGTAGGCAATAAATTTTCAATACCCTAAATCTTGAGAGGCCAGTTGCTTTTATTTCAAATCTAGCTATTTAGACTCGGGTTTGTGTACTTGAAGTCTTTTTGAAGGCGTCAGTGTCCACTTTGAGGACCCCTTTTGATCAGCATATTTCTGCCCCCTACCAAACACCTTAAAGACTCGAAGTTAAAGTAGTTTCTTTGTACTTGCCAATTCTTAATACCACCTAGCTGGACGGCAACTAGAAAAGTTTTGCTCCGGCGAGAGGGTCTAGAATAGCCTCCCCGCTTCCGCCATTTGGTGGTGTCCAGACTGACAACAGAAAATTGTAATGAAAAAAACTTTTAATCTTAGTCGGTACTCAGGGCCCTTCTCGGAACTCCTATTCAACCAAAACACGAGGGCTAATCTGGTTTGTCTAAATAGTGGTTCTTAAAACCATGGCCCTTTGCGCTTACTGGCGTGACGAGACTTGATGGTGATGATGATGATTATGATGAGGTTAACTTTGATATTGAAAAAATGAAAGCATAATATGGTGATCAGTGTTACAAACCTTTTTCTTATCGATAAATGCAATCGAAGGGGCTCTGTTGATTAAACTGTTCAGCAACGATGAAGAGACATTCGCAAAGTTTTTTCTTGTTGCCAAGGCACACTCATAAGACACCTAACGAGATAAACGAAACACTCTGAAACGAGCTAGTTGGCCTAAAGTTGTAATCAGTGAAGAAATTATCGCAGAAGCCAAAACAAGTTGTCAAAAAAGAAGTACACTTAAAACCTACGTGTAAGAACCTAGTGGTTTAAGAACCTGCTGGCAGAAATATACCACTTTGATAACCAGAATGATAAGAACCAGTTTAGCCAAGCAGAATCAAGCAAGTTCCTATGTACATATGTTGGTTACAGTTGACTTATGGTACACATTTTAATTATATAAGAAGTTTGACTTTGACATAACAAATTGATATCACAAGAAATACTGTAGCAAACTTACGGTACAAATAAAGGTATTAATTAAGTATGAGGGGCATGATTGTCTGGGTGAGCGAAGGCCTTAACAGAACTGTTGTTGACAGCGTCCTACTCAGGGCTGCGCTCACCCGGACAATCATGCTCCAGTTGCTTATGAAATGACTTTGGGATCAAACTTTTCACAAAAGTATTACTGTAATTCGTATAAAATCAGATTGTAAATGTCTTCATGGACCATGCATAAAGGAGGTTTGCAATGTACAGTTGTGAATAATACTGTTTAGTATATACTAAAACAGTGGATAGTGTTTTTCGCGCGGTCTGATTGGCTACTCAATCAGTGAATATCCTGCACTATTCACTGATTCACCTCCAGTTCCTCCGAGCGACCGACGCCAAACTCGCTTAAGTTGCAAGCAAAATGCCTTCCCGGTTTGCTGCCGTAAACAAACAAAGAAATTTCACAACTAATCAAGCAAGCTGTTTCTGAAATACACGAAGAAGGTGACGAAGTTCGGATTGGAAGTTTTAACAGGTAAAGCTTTGTCTTTTTAACACGAATTAATCGATAAAACCGGTGAAAAAGTTTTTTGTTTACAAATGCAAATTAAGCTTAAGTCTTGCTTACTTTATTTAGTTGAGTTGTTCATAAATAGGCTTAAAACTAAATTTAACAATCTCTTTTTATAGAATGATTTTAAATACAAAAAGAATTCACAACTCCTTTTGAAGAAATTTCCCCGCAAGAGCTAAACAAATGCCTTCAAAAGTTTTAGTTGTCGGCAAGAAAAAGCGACGGCCGCGGCCGCCCGGTCATTACGCGCCAAAATTGTAATCGTTAGCAACACTATTTGAGTTAAAAATCGTCATTTTTGTGCTCAATGATCTCACTGTTTTAGTATATACTAAAACAATTATTCACCTCAGTGTCGGTGGCTAGTCCTGGATATTTACCTCACTGCTTCGCAGTTCGGTAAATATCCAGGACTAGCCACCTCCACTTCGGTGAATAATTGTTATATATTCAACCCTATTCAGACCTGGCTTTTTTTCGCTTCCTGCAACTGATCGGGGACTTCAGAGGCCCCCCTCTATAACTTCAAAACCGCTCAAGCTATGGCCACCAAAATTACACAGAAAAATGTACTTATCATTTCCAACTTCTGGGAATAACTTGATTGACACAATGACGTAATATGACGTCATCATGACGCCATATTATTGAATTTATTGGCAGAATCGGAATTCCCTCAAAAGTACCCATTAAACGAAAAGTACTTAAATAGCAAGGTGTTAAATAAAATCAAGAAGGTGGCTAACATATAAATAACCTTTAACAATAGCAATGATTGTTTATTGTTTGTTGTTTTGTTTGCCATAAGTAATACAAAGCAAAAAAAAATCTACTCATTTAAACTCTCATGGCGAGGAAACCCAAGAGAAGTCACCGGGCTTATAAGGAATGGACTCCCTCAGTTAGATAATTAGAACAAAATATAATCATAATGTCATGATGACGTCATTTATGACTTAAAAAAAATTGGAAGCATCTGCCGTCTTGAATCCGCCATATTGAATTATTTTAATATATTCCAGTTTACTTAAAACTCGCGGTAACAGAATTGAAATCTGTACCTCAAAAATAAAGCAGGCCAACCTGGACGCTCCAGCACGGTTCTCTGTCGCAGACGGGGGTCCTGCTCGTTGACTCTTACGCTGAATAAATTCTATAAAGTCTGCACGTTCTCCGTCTTTAAACAAGTGGGTGTATTCTGCCTCCAGGTCCGACTGCTGGTTGTCACTTAGGGTGTTCTCAGTCAGTCGTTGATTCTGATTAACTTTCTTCTCTGACATGGCAGCCAGTCTAGGAAAAAAAACATGGAAGAGAAAGGTTCGAGAGAGGAAAATGCACACGCTTACTTTGATTTGTAGGCCTTAGAAATAGCTTAAAGTTTTAGCAGGTTGTATTTAGGAACCCCCATTTAAAAAAAAAATCTCTAAATTTCAACAGGGAGTTAACGTTCGTAGAAAAAAAAAGGGCGAATAAGGGAGAATTCTTAGCTCATCTGAAGGTGGGGGAGGAGGTTGGGGTAGGGTGATTTTCTTTACAGTCCAATATATGTAGAAGCCCTCCCTCCCACTGTTATTATTTTAGCTAATAACCAATAACTGTGGGCAAAATACCATTTTCCCCCTCCACCACCGCCACCTAGAAACGACTAAAACCAGGAGCCTATTGCTCCCGCTAAAACAAGACATTTTAGTCTTATCATGCCTTCATCCTAAGTAAACCTTGAAATGTAATCGGTGAAAATTTTTTAAAGGCCCATTGCCAACCTTGATGCATTGGGCGCCGCGACGAACACAGATCCCGCGAATTTTGTGTTACACGAAAGGAAAGGCTTTTCTAAAGATTTGGTATCCGTTCGAGCGGCTCAGGCTATTCGTTCGAAGAATATTGGCTCGAGCTATCCATTCAGTTATTGCAAACAATTGCAAAACAATTGTCATCCGCGCTACTGTTCCAAACCACCTCCACCCGAGTTTGCGACGAACCTGTCAAAAAAATAAATGTAAGCTTGACTAATTGCTAATTGTTCTAAGCGTCGTTACCATCATCTCGTGATCATGAATTTTCACGGTAAATTTTCTGCTGAATGGCCTTGTTTGCTTTCATAACATTCAAACAACATTCAAACAACTTTTGTTTTGAAGAAACCAATTCTGTCACAGAGGTTGTCAAGTCACCTTCTACATCAAAAGCCATCGGCTATGACAATATACCTATTAGGCTCGTTAAGGATGGTATCAGTGTTTTATCAGGTCCACTTAGCACCCTTTTAATTCATCTACCACCAAAACTTGCTATCCACCTGGTTGGAAATACGGCCAAGTTTCTCCAATTTTTAAAAAGGAACTTAAGCATTTAAAGTCTTATTATAGGCCTATAACTGTTCTTGTTATTTTTAATAACATTTTTGAACGAATTCTATCCAAACAATTATATAAATTTTTTGATAATATCTTATCATCTAACTTGTTTGCCAACAGGAAAAATTTTAGCTGTCAGACCTCCCTCATCCGCATTGTTGAGGAACTTAGGATTGCTCGTGATAATGGTGCTATTGCTTCTATCGTACGCATAGACCTATCCAAGGCATTTGGCTGTCTCCCACATAGGCTTTTACTAGCTAAGCTTAAGGCCTATGGTCTATCTGAGGATAGAGTTCTAATTATGGCAAGCTACCTTTCCAACAGGTTTCAGAGGGTTAAAATTGGGGACACCTTCTCAGATTGGTTAATGGTTGTTAAGGGCATTCCCCAAGGGTCAGTTCTGGGGCCTTTGCTTTTTAACATTTTCATGAATGACATTATGTATACTTCCTTTCATTCTTCTGTAAGCTCATATGCTGACGACGTACAATTTTTTAAAACTGTTTTCGATGCTACTGAGATTCAGCAGAGAATGCAGGCTGATCTTGTATCAGCCTCCCAGTGGTTTGAGAACAACGCCATGAGTCTCAATGTTAGTAAATGTCGCACCATGTGGTTGGGAGAGGAAGCGTGTAATCTTCGCTTTATCTTGATGGCAAAAGTATTGAAATCTGTCATTCAATGAACCTTCTGCGTGTCACTATTAATAGTGACCTCAATTTCGACGAACATGTCACGGTCTGAGATTATTCGCAATGTCTGTAAGCAACTGCAAGTGTTAATTCGCCATAAACATCGATCTCATTTCTACTTGTAATAAGAAACACTTGTATGGTGTCTTTCTTCTCTCCTGCCTCTCCTACCGCCCAATTATTTGGCATTATTGTGGCAAAAGAAACAGTGACAAACTTGAGTGGATCAACGAGAGCTGCCTGCGTTTTATTTTTAATGAATATCTTAGTTCCTACGACAAACTTCTAAATAACATCAATCAGCCTAGCCTGCACAATCGTAGAATACATGATATGTTAAGTCTTGTATATCAGTCTTTTCACGGTCTGGCCCCTACTTACATTAACGAGCTACTGATAGAAAGAAATTCTACTTACAATTTGCGTGGTAAACATTAATTCCCTTAGTATTTCCAGAGTTCAATCGACCAAATATGGTTTGCACTCCTTTCGCTACTCTGCCAGCAAATATTGCAATATGCTCCCAGAGGTACTTAGAACTGCTGAATCATTACATGTTTTCAAATAAAAAATTAAGAGCATTAGCTTTTATAATAAATGCTGCTCCTTTTGTAATTAGTTTTAATTATAACTAGTTACCGTAGTCACAATGTATATAACACTTTTCTTGTTTCTACATTATATTAAACTTGCACATAATATATAGTATTACTTTATTCTAATTACCTTTGTCATTTATTTTCTATTTGTTTTTGCTTTTCCTTCGGAAATATTTGCATTAGTTGATGCTATCGTTTGAAATTCGAAGTGAAATAAAGTTTTTGATTTGATTCGATTCGATTATCGTTACAACTTTAATTCAAGACTAAGGTATAATATTCAACAAATTTCCCGAACAAGTATAGTATGCAAATAACAAACGCTTTTGGTAGCCCTGGGAATACATTGAATAAACTTTGCCTGTTCAAAGTATCATCCATCATCTTCATTCATCATTTCCTGGACTTCACGACGGCTTACATGTTATAAACTTGAATGCACCCGCGCATAATTTGTCACACTACGTCGGCATCTCACGGAGCCGTTCACGTTTGTTTCAGGTAAACCTGAAATTTTAATGGACTCATACACTTTCGTGACAAATAATACCTATTTACTGACTTTGTAGGCGAGCTGTCAGATGAGGATTAACACTCACCTCCGACGCGACCACTGCTGACTAGCTTTCACTATTTTGTCCTTTTGCATGGCAAAAGTGTTAACCAATCAGAGCACGCCATTTACAAAAGCGCGTTTTCAAAACAAAAAGAAACGACCGCGTTGCATCAAGAATGGGACTTTAAACGTTGTGACGATTAATTCTGTTTTGCTACAAAGGATCGAAGGGGGGAACCCCTCCACCACTCTATATCTTCAAAACCGCTCATGATACTGCCACCAAAATTACACAGAGTAATTTACTTATTGTTTCCGACATTACGCCATAACTTGCCTGACATAATGACGTATCTTAACGTCATTAATACGTCATATTGGTAAATTTATTTGCAAAACCCAAATTTCATCAGTTTTCCCCTCCAAGCGAAAAATAGTTAGAAGTATGGTGTCTGACAAAATCAAGAAGTTATAGCTAACACATTTTAAAATAACTTTAAGCAATAGCAGTGATGTCATGATGACACCATTTACCATTAAAGAGGAATCTTCAAGCATCCGCCATCTTGGATCCGCCAATTTGAAATAATTGAATGTATTCTACTTTACTCAAAACCGGTATAAATTATCGAGGCAATCTTGATAGAAAAATTGATCTCTGTATAAATGGATCCTTTAAGAAAGCAAAAAAAAAAAGATCCCCAAACTGTTAAATTCTGGGAGAAATCAGTCACAAGAAAGCCTGGGTTACACTAACAGTTATTGTAAATTTGATGAAATATTGCTAAGTTAAGTGTGATGTTAAAATTTTAATGAGTAAAAATAGTTATTAATCTTTTTTATAGGAAAAAAAAATGATGAAAAATATATCTGTCAAAACTCGATTGACATGGCAACAGGTGTCACAACGACTTTAAAATGTTCCCAGATATTTCTTGTCTAAAAAAGTCGCTATTGGTTTTAACGGTAACTTTTCGCGCGGCGGGGGCGTGGGGGGGGGGGGGGGGGTCACCCAAACCCCCCCGTTGTTAAAATCTGCTCAATTTTAAGAAATAAAACTAGTTCACCCGTGTAAAAATATTTTTTATATTGGACCATCTTTTTGTAGAGTACCCCCCTCGCTCTCTTTTGCCGTCAAAACATTACACAATGTAAAGAAAGGAAAAGATCATTATATTTTGCTAGTTTTTTGTTGTGTCAGAATCGGTGTGTTGTGTGGTGGGGGGGGGTGGGGGGGGGGGGGGGGGGGGGGGGGGGGGGGGGGGGGACTCCAAAAGCCCCCCCAGTCTAAATAGCGTTCAAATGTTATGGAATATACAATGTTTGCCGGTTATTAACTCATTTCATATATGTTACCTTTTCTGTAGACTTTCCACCTCGCTCTCTTTCTCTGTTAAAAGTTCCTTCATCTTGGAAAAGTGAATGTTATGTGTTTGGTCTTGTTCTCTTCAAGAAAAAAAAATAACAAACACTTTTTGTAGCTCACAAATAGCGAAAATACTGCAGCATATCTCTGCCGGCTAACACTCTGGGCCTGGTTGTTCAAAACTGGATTAAGATAACCCAGGGTTAGTGCGAACTTTGAATTCAGATATGAAACCTTTAAAAGTAAATTCAGTTTAATTCTTTTTGTCAACAAGTTGATAATAAGATGCTCTTAAAAATAACAGAGAAAATTATCTGAGGAAATGCTTTTGAACAAAAGAAAAAGAAACCCGGGTTAAAATGAACCCGGGGTTATGCGCTAATCGGTCTTCGAACAACTGGGCTCTGGATAATTAATTTATGGTCACCTGTGGAACGTCGCACAAAAGTCGCATTCCACTAGTGAACTATTTAAGGCAAAAAGGTATGGCTTTTGTCACAAAAAGAAATCTTTCCGATAACCTAAGAATTCTGATTATGTTTGTGAAGCTGATGACACATGTTTCTTGCAAGGCTAAAAACGCAGTAGTGCTTTCGTAAGCAACATTCCTAGTCATCGTAGGCATAAGAAGTCATAATAATGATGATGATGATGATAATAATAATAATAATAATAATAATAATAATAATAACTACATTCTTATATGGCGCATTTACAAAGCTCAATGCGCCTTACTATGATTTACAAACAGAAAATAAAATCACAATCCCTATCAAATTATGTTCACCATAATGCTTACTAAAATAAAAAGAAGCTTTCCTAAAAGATGGGTTTTCAACTTGTTTTTAAAACAGATTACAGTCTTGGCACTCTTAATGTCCTTCGGCAGGGAGTTCCACAATTTCGGTGCCACAAAAGAAAAAGCTCTACACCCGTAGTTTTCAGTTTTAGCTTTTTGAAGACAGAGTAGTGAACGTGAAGCTGATCTTAAAGTTCGTGACGGTTGATACATTTCAATTAAAGGCTTCGGGTAGTCTGCAGACTGGCCATGTATAGTCTTAAACGTTATGAGGAGAATCTTAAATTCAATCCTCTTTTCAACTGGAAGCCAGTGCAAGTTCTTTATTATAAGCGTTACATGATCTGACCGTTTTAGGCCCATCACCAGACGCGCCGCGGTATTCTGGATTCGTTGGAGTTTATTCTTTGATATTTAGGAATGCCGTACAAAAGACAATTACAATAGTCCACTCGCGAGATGACAAGAGTATTAACTAACACTTCAAGTCCGTCTAGCGACAGATATTTCCGAATGCGTCCAATTGATCTTATGGCGAACTAATGCTGGCTGATTCCATCGAGGTGTAGGGTGATTGGCGTTTTAGATTTACCTTAAATCAGTAGTAAGGAGAGGTTTGTTTTCCTGAAACTTCTGTAAGGTCTCTTTAAGGTCTTTGTTTTCGTGTATGAGTTCCTCAATTGCCTGTGTTAAATCTTTCGCTTGTTGAACAAGATTATCACCATCCATACGAATCGCTCTGCCCGGACGAGACGAGGACATTGCCGATCGACCCGAAAATTATAAAAATTATAATAATACTGATGATAATAGTAATAACCAGCACTCTTGGTTAAGATCTTTGGCAATATTTGCATGAATTCACACCAGGCTCAGATTCCGGGAAAGAGGGCCGGAAGTAAAACGCATGACTCTTTAGTCCCCTCAGATCACCCACGCTCGGACACTGTAGGGACCTTGAGTTAGTGTCCTCATTAGCGAGAGTCTGTAATAGCAGGAGTTTAATTCAGTCAAACATCTCTTTTGTATTTTTGCTTCGGATTTAGCTGCTGTCCGTATGATCGGGGTGTCCGTTATAGAGGGGTGTCCGCAAGGCGAGAGTTGACTGTATATCCCATATTATGACTGATGTTATGACATATGCAGCCAATCGGACTTCTTCAGAATCCCAAGAAAAGTTAATCGGGACGATGGGGTATACATGCCCGAAGTCTTATTATTTCAAAAACGTTATATTTCGCAGAGGATGAAGTCAAAGAATACGCCACCCAGGATACACTTCCTGATCCCTTTGTAATTGCACTCGCTTTGGGGCTTCCATTAGAATAACTTGTGGGGTATTGTTAGGCATCAGACATGAACTTTTTCAACTATTTTATTTTATTATATACATATTTTTTCTGTTATCTAGCCGCACGCAGTTTCTCGGAATATCAGCCCCATTGTGTCCGTTTTACACTGACGTCATTTGTTTACAGTCGAGGGGTTTCTCAGAAATGAGAGCGACAACTGTGTAAAAAATGTATGACGCACCGATAGGCCAATTTCCAAATGTATTAAAATTCATATTTGGCTGTGAGGCTTAGGGAAATTAAACAAAAGAAATAATCTTGAGTCTCAGCAATGAATGATACATTTCTTTTGTTTTATTCCCCCAAGCCTAGGAGCCAAGTATGAATATTAATATATCGAAACTAGGCTATTCTCAAGAACACCGGAAATCTTGTCTATGATTCGACCTTTAACTACTCTTGTTTGATTTTACGAACATAATATTGCAACAGATCTTCAAGTTTACTGAAATTCTTGTAGAGTTTGAAAGATCTGATTCTTTTGAATAAACCCCCAAATACGTCGATTTATTATTACGCTCAATTCTAGGAAATATAGAGGAAGTTTCTGTCAATCATGTGGCAACACCCTTTGTCGATGGGTACAATGGGTATCAACTTAAGGCTTTGTTTCTCGGAAGGAAAGCTTCAAGTTGGTCGTAGTTGGAGCAAGAAACTACACAGCAAACCGTCTTGTTAATTTACTGGCATTTAAAGAGCATAACGGAGGATTATGGCATCAGAAGGTACGAAATACATTTTTAAATAATATTAGTTGAAAGAGCAATTTGTTGGGAAAAGCTTCACTATTAAAGGACAAGTCCGGAATATGATACAAAAACAACTTGTTATTTATAAGACAAAATAGTGTTATCGAACTACTCGTTGCATACAGCAATGAATCGTAATTTTCCGTCGATACCGACAAAGCGTAACGCCTCTGGTGGAATTGCCATTCCTAATGTCACCAGTGCGACGTTTAATTTGCCTCGGCCAAAATTCGAAGTCAGACGTTTAGGAGAACTTCTGGAATCTGGCAACAAAACCAACCGTAAGTCGGCGTCGGAACTCAGAATTCGAAGTCTGAAGAGGCCTTTCAGGGGCTTGGTAAAGGCCGCCAAAACTAAGCTAAACAGAACGGTTTTTGTGTCCTCTTGCGGTATCAAAAAACAATTTCTTTAACTTACTGTAAACTGAAATTGCTCACACTGAAGTAGTCTTCTGTCTTGTCTGGTCAATTCTTTAGGTATATAGCTTGTCATGTGGAAAAGCTTGAAAATGCTTTTTATTTTGATTTAGGAATTAATTGGTATTCACTAAGGCTTTGGTAACAGAACGTTCTATTCGAATCTTGATCGAGGGCGGGCGCTAAGGGCGCTTGTTTTCTCATGGTCGAGGCTGGATGGAATCCCTCAGAAGGAGGTGATCGAGGAGGACTAGAAACGAGACTTCGGCTCGTGAGAGAAGATGGCGCATCTCGCGATCAACTCGTCGTCGGACTAGCAGAATTTGCGAATAAAGAACTTCGAACGGGAAGGGAAATGTAAATGAAATCATTTTAAACTCATCTGTGCCTTACAAAATAAGGAATCTTTTGTCAATAAGAGCATAAGGGAGCAAAAACCTCAGAATTGCAAATATGGAATCCCTCAGAAGGAGGTTGGCATCCCCCATAAGGAGGTGTTTATTACTTCGGCGTAGCTCAAAGTTGCATCCGGAGGTCCCGAAGTTGCTTCCGAATGTCTCGAAGTTGCTTCGGAATTAGTTCGCGATATCTTCGAGTTCTTTGATTTATTCTTTCAGGGGAAAGAAATAATTATGATTATTTCTGGCTTGCCCAGGGTTTGAACCGGCTTACGTGTGGCCCGTCAGATCAGATGAGACTCTAAATTGGGGGATTTAGCCAATTGTGTCAGTGCTATGCAAGGTAATTTGAGGTGTGAAAAATAGCTATAATTTATGCACGAGGTACGGTTAAGGTTCCGGCAAGCACGTTTGTTACTTTTCGACTTGTTTTGGGTATTTGACGTAGTGACACCGGAATGAGTTGGAGATATCGCGAGATCACTTCTAGTTCTTTCGGCTACAACAAATATTTGAGGCGGATCGCAAAGTAATGTCGTAAAATTGCATTTTGTTTCCGAAGTGAGGCCGGAAGTTGTTCGAGATATCTCGATATCCCGAGATCAGCTCGAGTGGTTAGCTACAGTTGTTTAGTTTGTCTGAGGAAGAAAGAAATATTAATTTTTGCTCTCCCTTCGGTTTGTAGTTACTCATCTTTGCCCCGTTAGATTGCGAAACGAGGTTGTAACAGGAAAGTAAAAGATCGTTGATTTGTAGGTTTAATTTTTTTTTAATTTGTGCAAGCAGCAAGTTAATGTTTTGCTGCAGAACTCCGAACAGTCGGCGTGCGACGATAAGTAGTATTTTGGGCTTATAGGAAACCGATTGAAACAGGAAGTCGAGTTTTGGGATTCGTGAAAAGTTATTTTTGTGCTAATTGTTTCTTATAAGAGTAAAGACATTTAACAATACAAAAATGAAAATGTCAATGCTTCTTAAAAGGAAAATCGTTCAGTTCCGATTCACGTGCGTAACTCAAAAATGGTTTGTTTATGTTATTGCAGTGGTGAGAAGAGATCATAAGCAGAGGATCGAAATGTACCAATCAGAGATAGACAATTCGAAAGGCATTTTTCTCCTGTGAGGCCATCAGAATTCGCTGCTTCTGTGATTTTATTTTCTGATTGGCTTATTGTGTAGCGCGAAATCGATGTGCCAGTTAGGGAAGAGTGGGATGTTTTTGATGCGAGTGATTTGGAAAGTTGGGATGATGCGACTATTGAAGAAGAGGAAGAAGTCAATATTTTGTTGAAATACGTATGTTGTGTTATGTGGCGACTTCACATACAAATACAGACGCTGTTCGCCGTTTTTGCATCCTTCAGAAGGATGTACACTTTATTTAAGCTTATATATAACTTATAAATGGAATCCCTCTAAAGGAGTTTGGCATTCCTCAGAAGGAGGTACAGTATATTATTTTGGTATACCTTGTAAATAGAATAGCTATAGAATCCCTCAAAATTTAGGTATCCCTCGCCTCAGAGTAAAGTAGAATGTATTTATTTATTATTTTTTGTAAATAGAACCCTCAGAAGGACGTACACTGTATTATGTATAACTTGTAAATGGAATCTCTCAGAAAGAGTTTGACATCCGTTGGAGGGAGGTATTTGTGTTTAACTTGTAAATGGAGTCTCCTCGAGGGATTTTGATATTAAAGGATTTTTGTATCCCTTATGGATGTCTAATTTTGCTGAGATATAGTCTCAAAATTAAGTAGCAACGAAAATATAACTAAATATTGCAAGGCTGTGGTCTGAATGCTGTTACCAAACCGACTATCCTATACAGTGCTTACATTTGGACATCAACATCTAACCTGAACAAAATTTTTAGACTACAGAAAAGAGCTGCGACGATCATCTTGGACGCAGAACCACGCTTACATTAATTGCCGTTGTTCAACACTTTAAATTGGCTTTCTGTCTATCAAGACGCGTACGTCAACAGATGCGCATTCATTTTCAAGAGAACACTCGGAAAAACACCTGATGCCAAGCTAATTTTGAGAGATTTCATTTTACAAGTTATACATGAAAACAATGTACCTCCTTCTGAGGGATGCCAAGCTCCTTTTGAGGGATATCACATACAAGTTATACATAAATACAATGTACCTCCGTCTGAGGGTTGCCAAACTCCATTCACAAGTTATACATAAATACAGTGTACCTCCCTCCATTTACGGGTTATACACAAAGGAAGTTAACCTCCTTCTGAGGATGCCAAAACTCCTTCGGGGGGATTCCATTTACAAGTTAAAAATAAACACCTCCTTCTGGTGGACCAATAGCAATTCTGAGGTTTTGTTTCCCTTATGCTCTTATTATCGAAAGATTCATCATTTTTTAAGAATCATAGGAGTTTAAAATAATTTCGCATGTATTTCCTTTGCCGATCGAGGCTTTTTATTCGTAAATTCTGCTAGTCTATATGTCTCCAAGTTAGCCGAAAGGGCTGTATTCGAAAAGATTCATGGACACATGTCGGAATCAAATCTACCCAGTTTTACAGTCATCGTTTCGTGCAGGCCACAGAACTGAAACGGCTTTCTTGAAACTTATGAATGACATCATGCTTGCTATGGACTCAAAATGTGTCACGCCTCTTGTATTGTTAGACCTTAGCGCAGCGTTTGACACAATCAACCATGAAATCCTCATCAATCAGTTGCAAAACAAAGTCGGATTACAGGGGGCAGTTCTGAATTTGTATAACTGTCTAATAGAGGTCAGCGAATATCTGTCAGTGGAACACTTTCTGCATGCTTTAACCTGGATTGCGGAGCTCCTCAAGACTCTCCTTTGGGACCGTTATTGTTTATTTCATTCATCTCAGTTGTTTGACGTTATAGAAAAACACCTACCATGTATCCATTGCTTTGGTGATGACACTCAACTTTACTAAGTTTTAAACCAGACGACCATGTCAGTAAAGATGCTGCAATGAGAGCTATGGAAAGGTGAATTGATAGTCAATGATAGACTCCTACTAAATGATGACAAAACTGAGGTGTTACTAATTGGAACTCATCATCAGATAAATAAGTTAGATCGCAGCAGCTGTTTGCGTGTAAGTGACAATGACATCGGGTCTGTTGCCTGTGCTAGAAATTTAGGAGTCTGGTTTGATGAAAAAATGTCCACGTCTACACACATTAACATGGCATGCAGCAGCGCATTCTTGCTTTTATATCCATAATACGAGAAGAATTAAGAAATATCTATCTTTGATAGTCTGCGTACAATTGTCAAGCTCTTAATTATTACCTCCCGACTCGATTATTGTAATAGTTTAATAAATGGACTGTTAAGTGTGCAAATTTCCAAATTTGTAGTTTATCAGCAAAATAGGATGATAGCGTTAATGTTGGATTTCATTACTTTTTCTTTTAAGAATTAGTTTATTCACCGAAGACTTCACACGTGGCTGTCGTGGCAATCGACTTTGGCACAACTTACAGCGGATTTGCTTTTTCATTCCTGAAAGATCACGGAACAAATTCCATTTTCACAAACAGAGAGTGGATGAATGAGCAAGGTATTCGCACAAGTAAGACACCAACTTCCCTGCTGCTCAAACCAGACCTTTCATTTGACTCTTTCGGATACAAGGCAGTAGAAAAGTATGCACAACTTCAGGATGAGTCCAGTGAAAGGAGTTATTACTTCTTCCAGCATTTCAAGATGGCTCTTCACAGCGAAGAGGTATAGTATAGATCATGCTATGGATACATAATGCACTGTCCTGATTTGAACTTAACTTTAGTATTAGCAACTGTATGTCAGCTTATTGCCAGGGTCGCGTATTAAGTTTTTCAAGCACACTTTTGAGAGTAGTAATACTAGCAGTAACCGATGGTTAGAAAGTGCGGGCGAACTTAGAGATGTGGTAAATGAGAAACACTGATAATTATGTACGTTAATCAGAGAAAGCCCATTTAGTTTCAATGACAAAAGGAATCGCGTCGGATCATGAACGTGTAAATTTTATTAAAAAACACAGTAAACAAGACTCATATTTATTTCAATAAAATGTTTAGGTACAATAGAGGAGTTCACGCTCATTGTTGCATCATGGGTAATCAGGGCTAGATGGCGGGAAATTCAAGGATTTGTATTAGAATTCAAAGCAAATTAACCCCTCCTGAATTCATATATTTGATGCTTTCTCTTTGAAAAGAGGAAATTAGTTCAAAGAAACAATACACTAAATCTGGAGTGCAAAGACGTCCGTAATCAGTTTTTCGAAAACCTCGATTTTTCCATACATTTTCTGTTATTCGACAGTATCAAGATTACAGAAAATGTATGGGAAAATTGAAGTTTCGAAAAACTGATCATGGACTTCTTTGCACTACAGATTTAGTGTGTTGTTTCTTTGAACTAGTAGGTTACTCTTTCCAAAGAGAAAGCATCAAATATATGAATTCAGGAAGAGTTAGCTGGCTTTGAATTGTAATACAAATCTTTGAATTTCTCGCCATCTTGCTCGATTACTTATGACTCAACTATGAGCATGAACTCCTCTATTAGCCTGCGAATGATGAGGAGCGAAGAAAGACGGCTGTTGAAATTAATCTTTTAATGGCAGAAAAAAAAATTCAACGGCTAGCTTTTAAAGAGCATAATTTGTTTACGTGCTGGCAAAGTTTTAAAAGGTAGACGTTCTCAGTCTTAATAAGATTGTAAGACTTTTTTAGTTGTTCGGGTAAAAGACGTTTGTCCACTTGCTCTTAATATCAGGGAAAAAACGTCGAGAAACCAGCTGCACCCATAAACACAAACCAAAGACTGTGCGACTTTTCAAAATATTTATTTATATGTGTCAACATGCCCTCCATGATAACGAGCCAAGTGTTGTTGGCGCTAGCGTGTTTCTCTTGTGATATGAATTTTTAAATAGAGTATTCCCTACCTACCTACCTACCTGCCTGCCTACCTACCTACCTACCTATACTTATTACCTGTGATAATTTATGCAATGAAGGCAGAATAGAAATAAGCAAAATGAACTATATGCAGTTTAGATTAACTACCAACGCTAATTTTCACTGAAAGAATTCAAAAGCCCTGTATCCAAAGTTGTGCAGGGTACTGGGACTGTGTCCAAATTGCAAAAATTCATCGACTTCGGCGTTCAAGCATTGGTATGCGATACTGTTGTCACAATTTGATTGTGCATTGCACTACTGGGAATTTAAAAAAAAAAACCAAACAAACAAATAAGGGAATAAATCTGGAGACTTTCTCTACTGTCAGATTTCCAGAGGATAACCACTTAATATGGTGTATATGAATAATTTCATGACCCTTTGTGCTTTTTTGTTATTTTATGAACCGATTTTTGAACAAACTCCTGTTTCATCCTAGACTGTCAGCGTTCAAACTTCTATCAAAGCAGCCAACGGAAAAAGCGTCAAAGCGTTACAAGTGTTCTCTCTCTCGATCAAGTTTTTAAAGGATGAAGCTCTTAAAGTTATTTGTGAAAGGACTGGAGATACATATTTCAATGTGAACGATGTTCAGTGGGTGCTAACTGTTCCAGCCATATGGACTCCGGTGGCAAAACAGTTCATGAGAGAAGCTGCATATGAGGTTAGGGATTTGAGAAGGAGATTGCTATTTAAGCGCATTGTGAATTGAATGTTGATTACTATGCACAGAGCTCATTACTAAGTCTCCACCACTTTAAACGCTCATTAAGCTAATCAGGTTCTGTTCATGCTCTTGCTACAAAGTTTTCAAGAATATTCATGTACTAATCCTTACAAGGTTAGCAAGCTTACTTATGTTACGTATCAGGACTGGATTTTTGCCAAGGCATGACTATGTAGAGAAACGCTTAATGTTGACTAAACTCAAGAGGGCTTTCGTTCCCTGAGTGAGATTCGCAAGAAGGAAAAAAGTGCCAAAAGTTGACTAATAACTCCAAACTAGGGGCTGAAAGGCTCAAAAATCTGAAACCCGACCTTTCGAGCAGCTACCTAACAGTTCTCTATTGGTACTTACCCATTACCACTTTAGTAAAGTGCGCAAAAAAAAAAAAATTGTATATACCAAGCCAGTGAAGTAATCCTTTTCGTGAACTCTGATTGGCTGGCAATTGTTCGCTTTGGTATTTTCTAGGCACGTGAAAGAAGTTGTCGCTATCTTTCACTACGGCCGCAAAGGAGTCACCAGAGAGTCGTATGTTCATGCCTTTTTTACACCCCACTAAAACTGGTCTAATTCTCGTGAAAATACCTAGTTATGCGATATGTCGAGTAAGAACCGTTTGTTCTAGCGCGGGTGTTTACCAATACGAGATTTGAGCGAACATGATCATATTTCAACCTTGTTTTAAACTCGCTAAATTGACGCTGGGGCGTTTAACGGTTTTCTTAGGCTTTGTCACAAACAAACAGGCCCCAGTTGTTCAAATCGTGGATGACGTTATCCTCTGGATCATGTAATATACTTATATCAGTGAATACCACAAACTATTGCCGTATATGATATGGAACTACAATGGTTTACTGACTATTTGTTCATTCGCAAGGAGATCGTTCTATTTAGTGGTGTACTTTCTGAACCAAATCCTGTTTACACAGGAGTTCCTCAAGGAAGTATTCTGGGGCCTCTCCTTTTTCTCATCTTCTTAAATGATGTGCCATAGTTAATTGAGTGGAATAGGTTATGAAACCCGTCAGACTCCTTTGTTATATGTTTTTGTGGGCCTGAAAGTGCACAACGTTCAAAAGCGTTCCTTTCATTTTGATTGTATTGACCAATAAAAACGTTGCATTAATTTATTCCATAAGAATTTGCCAACAGAAAACAAAGGATCGTGCACTTTCAGAGTGCTTCCAACATATACGCAGCACTGTTGTTTTTATCATTGATGTTTGCCGCTTTTCATTACCATTCTTCTCTAATAACTATGGATGTGCATAGTCCCCTTCATCATTGTAAGATTATCACCTATGCCTATGATACTGTGATTTTTATGTCCTAAAATAATTTCGATGTGATACAAGCCAACCTTTCTCAGGACTTGGCGTACCTCTCTAAATGGTTTCGTGATAATAAACTTATTCTTAGTAATCTAAAGAAGAGAAACTGAGGTGATACTTTTTGGCACCAGTAAACGGTTGAATCTGTTTCATGGCCGTCAAGTTAACCTCTCGGTCAATGGTTCTCCTGTTAACACCACTACATGTTGTAAGTACCTTGGCGTGAATCTGGACCCGACACTTAATTTTGATACACATTTTCACAAAATTTACAAGAAGGCAGCAGGAAGAGTGAACCTCTTTCGGCGCATCCGTTCCAGCATTGATACTTTTAGTACAACACGAATTTACTAATCGATTATTGTGCCAATATTTACGTATTGCGGCTATAATAGTCTTGGATTTTCAGAGTCCCACAAACACATGATCAGTTCCATTGAGAAACGAAGACTCGAAATCATTACCCCAAAATGCAGACCGAAGAACTGCGACCTTCGATTTTTAGCAATTGAAAACGTGCTGCTTTGTTTTTGACTGCCTCAATGCAACTACATGTTTCCCATTTAGGGCCTGTTTACATGGAGTGGGGGACCCCGGTCTAGTGGGGTTGGTTTCTTTTGTTTTCACTCTCTGGGGAACACAAAACAAAAGAAACCTACCCCACTAGACCGGGGTCCCCCACTCCATGTAAACAGGCGCTTAGGAATTATTTTCAACGATTTCACCATAACTCTTTAAACACCAGAAACAATGGGAAAGCAGCAAAACTACCCAAGGTGAAACTGTATTCTCACTGGGGGCCGTCACGCACAAACGCTCTCTGTGTCCCGTGGGACCCGTGCACTGTGGATCTGCAGGGGAACTCGTTTTACTCATATATTTGTGTGTTTGGTATAAATTGGCCGGTTTTCATGCTTTTTCTTCCTCTCTTCGTTAAAACGGACACCAGACACCTAGTTTGTCGCCCCACCCACCTCCCCGCAGCAATGGCACACTCTGGCGCCTTATTTCCCTCTCCTTTTCGCCTCCGGGCTTGCCTCTTCCCACAACTCATACCAAGATAGTGGCGTTTGCAAGTAGGGGCTCCCAGTGAGAATTTATTACTGTTTGGCTGTAAACGTCAGACTTGTAGAAGCACGCAATTTAATATTGATTTTTGGAAAATATTTTCTTGTTTTATTGGACGTAATAAAATATAGCTATATTCCGTTGTTTATTTTCTATGGTGCTACGCATTCGCTAAGAACGATAATATTTATCCACAATAGCTGTAGTTTTCTTTTCTTGACGATAAGATTTCTGGAGCTTGATTCACCATAGTCAAACATTTTGTAGGTATTTTCGTTATGTTTTACACCCTATTGCGAACTTTAATTTGTTGCATATTTCTGACAGTTTTACAGTTTTTATTTCGAAATTGAACATGATGAAAAATTACAGAAGCGTGAAAGGAAATGTGGTTAAAAGAGACTGTTTTTTTTTTAATTTTAAATTTTCTATCCAAGGCTGGCTTGGGATCCTCGGACAAACCCGAACAAATAATGATTGCTCTTGAACCCGAAGCTGCTGCACTTTCCTGTCTTGAAAAAACCTTGGACGCGTTCAAGTCAGAGAAAGGTACTGGATCCGTGTACGGATTGCTGGCACAACCTAACACTCATTACATGGTAGTAGATATCGGAGGTAAGTTTACGACGTGTTATAGAATTGATATATTTTATTGAACGGTTTAGTGTTTAGTATCGTGGGATATTTTTACGAGTCAAAATACTGGAGACGTTTGTAGAAAAAAACGGTCAAACCGGTCTTCTGGAGTGCAAATACTGTGAGATATTTGTGCTCGTTTTAGCCTTATTTGTACTCTACTTAGTGAAGTTGAATAATAGATCCCTGCTGTACGCAAGTACGAATGTGTGCTGTCGTAATTTGTAATAATCATCCCACTTTCTATGTACCTTTCGCAATTTGTAATAAGTTTGTCGCACTTCGTAATAACTGTCCTGGCACTTTGTAATTATAATAAACTAAGCTGTCGCGATTTCTAATAATTCCATCGCACTTTGTAATAAACTTTTACAGTGTGACTACACGAACCGAGGCCATTCAAACAAAATGAGAAGTCGAGATCTAAACATTGAAATTGCGCATAATTGTACTCAGAACCAGTTCAAAATACGTTGCGGACCATTTTTCTAAAAGACATAAAAAATAAGGAATCGTGACGCTTGTGAAGAAGTGAAGCTTAAAAATGTTTTCACCTTTGACAACGTCTGGGCTTGCCGGAATCAAAGCCAGCAGTAGAAAAATTTTGGGCAATCCGAACTAAAGGCAACGGTCGCTCAATTCACGGTAAACGGGCGCTCAGCAAGTGAATCGCAGTGTCTGTGATTTGAGAGCGCTATCAACAAAGATATGGGGCCGGAATTACGATACATACGCACTCGCCCAGCTTGGCCCGCAAAGACAAAACTGTGAATGACTCTAGACTGCTCAAGAATAGCCAAGGAAACAGCCATGGTTAGTGGAATTTTTGTCCAGGGAACGTGGCAGACATTGCTTTATTCTTGCAAGTGACAAGACTAGGAAAGATCAGAAAAAATCTTCGAAGCAAACTTACCGCGGTGAAACACAGAAACAACTTCGGATCAATTTGGCTGAGGTGAACTAATTAAAAGTTAGAACAACCAAAGAAATTGTACCTTCTTACCAAGTATAAGGATACGTAAGGGATTTGAAAAGGATTATTGCCAGGTTTAGGACTTCGTGACATATCAACCCAAGCCGTTTTAAGTGAGGTAAATTTTTGGCTTTTGCGTACAGATCATCTTTTACAACAACATGACTTAAAATTAACAGAATTTTGTAATTAACATATCCAAAAATGTATAATTTAAATATTAATGTTAGTAAATATAACTCTTTTACTTAATGAGTGGAGATATAAGCAATTTTCGTAGTGTACGTTGTTGATGACTTCATCAACTTAGATTGTGGGGTACCATTCATGTTTTTGAAAACATAATAATGTTAACGAAGTAAGTTAAATAAATCTCAAAACGTTGATTACAAAGTATGATGGAATTATTAAAAATTGCGATAGCTTTCTTTACTTCAAAGTGCGATGGACAGTTATCACAAATTGCAGCAGTTTTTAATTAGTTTTTCAAAGTGGGACAAAGTGCGATGATTATTACAACTTACGACAATACACATTTCGAGGTGGGCTCCTCCCACTTATGTCCAGAAATGCATGCAACGGCAAAATGGCGAAAAATCACCAGAGGGCTGGCGACAAATTTAAATGAGGTTACAAGAGGAGCTCCTTACATGCAAAGTGGCGGATTATTTTTAATTACGTTCTGATTAAATGGAAAAAAATTCCTTGAAATAATTTGGGTCATTCACTTATACTTTATCCCTGTATCCAAGGTTTGGAAAATACGGGGATGAAGACGAATGAATTTTACACACTGAACTTAACACATCGCAACTAAAAGAACAAGCTGTACGAATAATTGAACAACAATGCATCTTCATCTCTGTTACCTTGCGATAAGAGTAGCTATGCACTTAACGGGGAAAATACTTGACCGCTGCATGGCTCAGCCCGAAGAACCCTTATTACAAGCATGTGATTTGGCACGTTTTCAGATGCTAGCCATCTTGCAGATAGAAGTGTTTATATTGAACCAAACGCCGTACCAGACTTTTAAACCATAGAATTTTACTTTTTCTCTCGCCACGCGTGGCACTGAGGAAAGAGGGACGACCGCTCGTGGTCTAGAACTATTACATTTCCCCGCTGACGTCTTGGCTAGGCTGTTGATATCAGCAGTGAAGAGCTCGAGCATACTTCCTTATGCTACTTTTTGAGGGCTTATTATGGGAAGTACAAAAAGGTCTTGTGTTTTTGTTTTGTTTTGGTTTATTACTACATTTTTTGTGATTAGGGGGTACCCTTGACGTGACTGTACAGGAGTTACAGAAGAACGGTTCAATTAAAGAAGTCCATAAAGTCACAGGAGGTCCGCATGGCGGTATTAGAGTGGACCAACAATTTGAGAGCCTTCTTGAGGAGCTGTTTGGTGCGCAGAATATTGGAAGGTACCGCCATGAGCATCGTTCTGATTGGTTAACCCTTAAGAACGATTTTGAAGCAAAAAAACGCGCAGACCGGATTTTAGACAACGAAGTGATGACAAACATTCGCCTTCCAGGCAGTTTTCAGTCCCTGGCAAACAAAAATCAGACTAAAGACATGCACAGCTATGGAAGCAGCAATGTAAAGCTTAAGAATGGTGAATACCTCGCTCTTAGCTCGAGAATGATGAAGAATCTCTTTGACCCCATCGTTAACCACATCAAGGACCATCTGAAAAACTTGCTGCAGCAACCAAAGCTCTCTAAAGTGAAAATCATGTTGCTCGTTGGAGGGTTTGCTGATTCTGCTCTTCTTCAGCAAGAAATAAGAGGTGCCTTCTCAAACAGAGTGAAAGTGCTCGTTCCCAACAAAGCCAGCATAGCAGTGGTTCATGGAGCAGTGCTCTTCGGGAAAAAGCCAGAACGAATAACCGAAAGGGTGGTTGCTACAACTTACGGCGCAGACTGCTCGAGGGATTTCATTCATGGTGTACATCCAGAAGAGAAGAAATTTATTGCAGATGGCATTGAGAAGTGTAGTGATTTGTTTAATCTGTTTGTGCGCGAAAACGCCTCGGTGCGATTTGGGCAAAAAATTACAAGCCCTTACACTCTTATTCGGGCAAATGACACGGAGATACGCTTTAACTTTTATTCTGCCATCAATCCTGATTCCCAGTTTGTTACAGATCCTGGTATGAGGAAACTCGGGAGTGTCACCGTTCTTTCCCCTGACACGTGGAGAGGGAAAGACAGAAAAATCGAAGTCAGCATGGAATTCGGTGGAACGGAAATCACTGCTAGAGCTCGGGATGTTTCAAGTGGAAACGTGGCCCAAACTGCAATTGATTTTTTGCACAATTAGGCATTTGACCGATTTTTTTTTTGAAAAAAGATACGTTTTAAGCTAAGTATGCAAGTCAAAACTAGGAAACGATGAATTGAGTGAACTGAAAGTTAACTAATCGATTTTTTGTAAGCATTCAGTGAGTACTTCAGTTGTCACTTATATTATTGCATAAAGATACAAAGATAATAATAGCGTTTTTGTCAGGTATTTTATGAGATAGACTTTTAGGAATATTATAAAATCAGTAGAATGCTTTAACAGCACGCGCTTTGTGTACAAACTTTATACTCTTATAACATACATGGCCTAAAATCACGGACACCGAGCTCGCGACGTGCAAGCGGTATTCCCGAATCTCTGAAAATAATGGCGTCAAAAAGTTAGAAGGAAATGTATGTGCTTAAAAATATAATCGTTAATAAAAGCTACTTTTAATTCTTACCTGAACCTGTTGCCGAGATTACTTCCATTCAAAGAACGTATAGCAAATCCACTATAAAAATTGGCTTCGAAATCACATCGATAAGTTGTCCCATTTTAAATATGAATTTAGCTGGTTTGACGACCCTTTTACCCATTCTAAACTTTCAAATTGCCCACATTACCTATCTTTGACGATGATTTTCGGCTATCCTGAGGGAAGGACCCAAACTGCTGAGACGCTTCTGCAAATTAAAGTAGAGTAAGTCCTCCATAGGTAGAGTAATTTTCGAGGAGATACAAGAAAAATAACCCGTTCCATTCCGGCTGAATATTATTATTCATTCAAAATATTTCCACAATTCTGATTGGCTAAAAGCACACGCATAATTCACCATAACCAGTTACTGATAACCAAATTTGGAAGAATTTTGTGTTTAACGAGGAAATGACGTCAAAAATGCAGCCCGGCTACAGGTTAATGCACCGTTAACCGAGAAGACGTGGAGACGAGGTTAATTTGTTTTGCTTGTGAAAAAAAAAAAAAAAAAAAAAAAAAAAAAAATGGCGGACATTTCACCCCTTTCAAGAGTAAGAACTACAGCTGGAACTTGTCGAAAAACATGGCAAAAACAGCAAGAAGACAACTCGGGGCGCGACATCTGCTATTTGGAGAATATTTGCGGAGCTCGACAAACCTAAACGTATACTATCGAAGATGAACTTAACATCGGTGTAGGTAAGCATGTTTAATTTAGCTATCTTTTTAAACTAGGAACTAATTTGAATGAATAATAAAGCAATTAATGAATTCGGCTTTCGTAGGATATGAAGAATTAAGCAGTCTTTAAACAGCGTAATATCATAGGTGACGAATTACTCCTTAATTTTGGCACGAAATTTCAGCGTTACTTTGTAATTTCACATGTGAAATTACAAAATTGCCATGGCAACTTCCGTACGTCTCAGTGTCAAGATGGCGACGAAGTTTTAAAATGTCGTGAATGAAGATTTCAGGGCACAAAAAAGACGAGTTAAAAAACCTGAACACACGAAAGAGCACTTCAAGAAGTATTCTAACAGATATTTGGTCTAAAAATTGTGAAAATTCTGAACTTAAGCCAAATTTAAGGTCTACACATTTGAGACAGTGGAGTTCTCGATCGATGCGATCAAGGATAAACATGTCAAAACATGATTCACGATCGCTGAAGTAATTCGTCACCCATGAAATTAATAGGTAATCAAATGGTATACTCGTGAAATTAGGGAGTAATTTCACTTGCGTTCTGTCCAAATCCAAATAATTTCCCTCCGTTAGGATTTGGACAAAACGCGCGTGAAATTATTCCCTATTTTCACTCGTCACCACATACATATCTCGGCCTATTTCCTTTGCTTAATTTTGCTCCAACACCGATGGTTCGAGAGCTTTTTTCTTCCACAATCTTTCGCCATTGCTTGTTTTTGATCCGATTCCTTCTCCATAGAGATAGTCAATTGCGATTTCCTGTGGCTTAAAGAAGCAGTAAAGCATAACAGGGCGGTAATTTTTCAGATGGGTATTGGGTCCATATGGATTGACGCCACAGAGACATTTTCTTTTTTAGGAGCTATTCTAAATAGTAAAACACTAGAATCGAACTTAATCGTTTCAGGCATACAGTGGTTAATTCACTGTCCGTTTTTCCATGAAACTACATTTTCACCCTTTCTCTGGCTTGTTATCTCGAAATCTTCCTTTTGTCTCCACATTAGGTTATTTAATAATGATCACTGCCACTAATGAATTGTGCTTTGATGAAGGCTGTAAAAATCGCATTCTGCAGTAAATTTTAGCTTTCTATACCGTTACGTTTCATTTAGTGCAAATTTGAGGGCTGTGAATTAAGTAAGGTTAGATTTTCTTTACAAAGCTCAAATGTTAATTTATTTGCATAACGAAATGTCATGCATAATGAAATCTAAACAGTTTAAATATACTGCTAAGAAGTGGTGTTTGTGTTTTTGTGACCGAGCGGTTTTAACAACACGTTAATAAACAAACCTCTTGTAGTAAAACATTTTCCCGCTTTTCTTGAAGCTGCACGGACGATAATGGGAGTGCGCAAGCTTTATGGAATGTACCGGTGTATGCAGGCAGCATTGAGGTAAGGGCCATCAGAATCGACGCCACAATAGTGGACAAAGAGCAGAAACGAATGTCAGCCATTGAAATGAGCTGTCCTCGGTTGGATGACCGCGAATTGAAAGAGATGGAGAAGACACATAGATATGGTCCGCTAATGTGGGAATTGAGAGAAAGAAATTCTGGCTACCAAGTGAGACATTATAACATTATCATTGATGTTCTGGGAGGATATTTAGCTGACATGAGTCAAGCGGCAAAGGAAATTGTTGGAGAGAAGAGTGTCATCATCTTACAAAGCGTGTAGAGATGTGTCATATCGAGTACACTAAACACTGAACGCAGCTTTTTCAAAATTCTTGCTTAAACGAAGAGGATTGTTGCTAAAAAATTCATTATTGTATATTGAAATTTTATTGAAACTTTTAGTATAATTTTTCCATAGATCTTAAGATAAGTAGACAAAATTTTTTAAAGGACATACGGGAACATTTTTATTTATTACAACGTTTTAATATTATACAAGGGCCAGCTATGACCATGATATTCTTAATATTTCAATACTTTTTACATAAGAGTGATTTCACGACGCGGGGTTTGGTTATGGTCAGACGCCCAAATTCCGCGTTTTTTTTACTAATACTGGGCTTCCAGACGTGTGTAAGACTGCCAATATGCTAATATTGATGATAATAATATTAATGATGATAACGATAATGATAATGACAAAACATACAACTGAAAATGGTTTAGAAAATCGCCCATTTTTTGTTTTTTGTTTTTTGTTTTTTTTTTCGTAGAAATGTACAGGAATTAACTCACTAACGATTGAAATAACTTTTTCCGGATTTGATGCTGATGCGTCCACGCCGTGGTCATTCAGCTGATGTATGCATGTGCACCTCCCCCTGTTAAAGAAACATTACTTATCGATACTTAAAGTGATAGTTAAGATATTAGAAATAGGGTATCCAAAGGCATTAGGAAAGCTGCATAAATGGCTGATTGTGTTAGACATTGGAAGAAATCTCATAACTTCACAAGATATCATTCTATGGCATAAATATTTATTTTGCATTTAATCCAGGCATGATCGTATTTCTAAATTTTCACCTTCACCTTCCTTTAAGCAGTCGTTTTTGTAAAAGATCAGAACACAGAAATGTTAAGTGAAGATCACGACAAAACTCACAAGTAACAGCACTGTCACGTTTGTCACACATAAACGTTTCGCCGCCCTCTTCTTTCTACCGTCCTGTTGTGTAAGCTCACCACTTTCAACGATCGCATCAGCCTCAGTTCTATTTTCAGCCAAGTTTCTATCTTATGGCTACCATTTTCTGATTGGTAAATCGCAATCACTAAATAGCCATCACAATTAACTAGGATTTCAGTACTCTCTGCCACCTCCACAGGGGACCCGGTACCGGCGCCAACCTCGTTTCTAGGATTTTCTCCTCCTCGTCCCTAAGTGTGAGAGTGACGAATAGGAAGGTTATACTAGCGATTTTTTGTCAGAAGCAACCTTCCCGTTTGAGCCCTTAAATCATTAGTTCACAACACACTTAACAGTTTATCAAAATTGCTTGGCGTAGGCAGGTTTATAATGCTGAGTAAGATCAATTTGTCGTGCTAATCTTTCTTGCAGTCCCTGGGCGACTGTCTTCGCAATCAATCATCCCGATCAATGCAGAAACTCTACCAGAATATTCCGATGTCAATGCACAGTGATCCCATCACTGAACTAATCACGTTTTGCACTATTAAAATAACATGACAAATTAGTATACGTGTCAGTTACTAAATTCTGAGAAGCATTTACTGCATCAAAACATCCTTTCATTCTCAGAAAACTAAACAAAGCTGACCCCTGAGGGTTGCAGCTCTCTTTCTCAGAAATGTGACGTTAAATTTACAGTGCAAGATGGAGAGTCACATGAATTAAGTTTTCTTACAATAAACTACCCCCTAATTTACAACAGCTTCCATATTGAAATAACAACATCGATGTCCACATATAATACTAAAATCAAAGTAATATAATTTATTTAAGGGTCGAACGAACATATGGAGTTTCCAGCCCACGTGATGTTAAAATTCCGGTTTTTCCCAGAAGTGATAAGAACAAAACAATGACGACACATTAAATGTTCATCCATTGTTGTAAGTGGCTATGTGCACTTGGGTTTCACAAGGCATTCGCAAAAAGTAACAAGTCCGAGAGATTATGGAGCAAGATCGAGGGAGGAAGGCAGATCTCATAAAATCGCTGAGGTCTATTAATGAGGTGGTCAAAGAGCATCCTGACATGCTTAATGAACTGATCATGATGCTGGAAGCTAAAGAGGAAAAATCGACGGGAACGCAACTGGATGCAAGGTGCATGTAATTATGATATAAAACAAATGCTTTGCGTAACTCTTCACTGCTATTTCACGATACCGATTTAAAATTGTCTTCTGCATGA